AAAGTGGTGGGCGCCAAATTGGCGCATAATGGCGCCAAATGACGCCAGCGCTCGAAACGGATGTGATATTCGTGATCAGCGCATCGAATTACATCTATACGTTTCAGCGAAAAATTTTTTCTGAGTTTTTGGGGTAGGAATAGTTATAGTGCCAATAGTGTTTCGATATTCAGTAGTGTTTCGAGTGCCATAGTTAAACAGTTAGATGGTTTTCAGTGCTGCAAGCAACTGATCGTAAGAAGCCAGGGGAATTCGTAGCATTGATTTTTTTTCTCCCATGGATGTTTCGGGAAAAATATTTGTAAAGAGAAAGTGCCTTCTGATGCAACCGAGAAGGCGGAAGAACATCAGTCCGTACGGGGGCAGAGCTCATACCGACCTCCAAAAGAAGGGTTAACGTACGGACTCGACCAAAATCTTCAGCGCATGACTCTCCTGCCTGGGATTCCTCAATGCCCCTTACGAGCGGAAGCGATGGAAAGTCTTGCTCGATGCTAAAGGAAGAATTCGCTCTGGTTTCACAATGACTTAAAGTCCTCATCATTGCGGACTGTCGGAGGTGGCGTGAGCAGCGCGGTTCGAGTCCGCGTTCGGCTCCCTTGCTCTACCAATGGCGATCGGGTAGAGATCGATTTAGGAAGGAAACAACCAATGATGGAAACGCCGCAGTGAGAACCGCTGATTGCGACCCGACAATTGCGGTGATGTTAAGTGTACAGGCAGATGGATACACCCAGCTGGCGGTTTTTCCGTCACCTACGCGTCAAAGCATGTCCGCTAGACTGGCCTCGAGGTTGGGACAACTCGTCCGAGACAGTAGTGTATTTCTCTGAGTGATTATTAAAAAAGCCTTTCTGGGAATCATAAGCTCTAGAGCCAACAGTCACAGCTCTTGTTAGACTATAAATCACGGAAATCTTATAGTCCCGTGATTCGGACATTTTATCCAACTTGGTAGGCACGCACCGTAGCCTGTCAAAACAGGTCAACTGCCATGTGATCGCGCCAAACGACCGCCTCCCCCAGCTGTACACCAAAAGGTCTACGGACAACTCGAACTCAATTCGAGTCGCGCTTCAAATTTTCTCGGCGCTCTCTACGTCTTCATGGTACTATTTGGCCCCGGTGGACTAACACATCCGAACTTTTATGCCTGATAAGAGGCCCATCTCCATGGAGTCCCCTTCTCGTGAAAGCTTACGCCCTTGCTCGTGGTATGTTCGAGCTTTTAATGCCTTGGCAGCCGCGTTCCTCTGTTTCTCTGTTCTCTGGCTCTTCGTAGCAGGACCCCAACCACGGTTTGTGTTTTCACGTAACCGAAAGCGTATTTGCGCGACGTCGCGGCCACGCCTACGAGCGTGCCCACCGGACTACTGTCTCGTGCGTTCCCCTCACATATGTACACCTTTTCCAGTTCGAGATCGATTTCCTTGCGAAATATGCTAACGTCCATCTCTAAACAAATTCGTGCAACGCTGTCTCGTTAAACGGCGCAGATGAGCAGAGCTCGCTGCAGGCAACAAATTTTTCGCCGAACGAGGCCGCAGGCATTGTTCACAGTCTGCGACCTTGACGAAACAGCGGTTCAGCGAAAAGCAATGAATACGTAGATCGGAGAATCGTCAACCCCTCTGGAGAGACACCGTGGCGGTTCGGCGGCTCGGCGAAAAGCAACAGATGCGTATAGATTTCGTTTGCTTCCGCCGTGAAGAAAACGCCAGGGCGGTCGGGCTAGCGTTTTTCGCCCAACCGCTCCGCCGAACCGCCCGTCGATACGTATCAAAACCGTTTCGCGCAACCGCCAGACTCTTCGCCCAACCGCCAATCGATACGTATCGAAAGCTTTTCGAGCGTTTCTTTCTAGAGAAACGCACAGTACGGTAACTTCAGTAGGCGAACAACCATACACCGTACCCCAAATGAGCCGTAAATAAATCTGGGTGCACACCAAACACAGCATCTCACGACAACAGCGTCGAAATTGCCTGGATAACGCACGTATGTGTTGCGGTTGCTATTGCCTCGTGCATTTTTGAACGTTTTGGGCGAGAAGAATAGTATAGATATCGATCTGGCGTTTTTAGCATCCGATCGACACCTACACTTTTCGCTTGAAAACGCTAGCATTCCGCTGAGAAGATTCAAAACGCTAGGTCGATAGCTAACTTTCCTTTTCGCCCAAAACGGAAAACCAAATGGGAAACTTTTCGCCTTCCAGATTAGTGAACGAATGTTGTTGCACTATGCACAACTTTTTCTCCTCATTTCAGCACCACTCCTAGAATGCCTAGATCAGGTTCGAACTGCGAGCTTATTCTTGAAGCTGTGAATAGGGCTGACTATGGATCTCGTACTCTATTTCGTTCAGAAAAACTATGCTTGTCATCATTCCTCGTATCGCAGGAAACCAACAGGAAGCAAGCAGGCAGTGGTAACCACACGACAAGGAGGCTATACTGTCATCAGAACCATATATAAGGATATTGATGATAAATGCCCTTCACCTTTCCAAGTTCGAGTAGTGGTAAATATAGAGAAACTCGAACATGGAAAGGAGCAGGGCATTTATCACGGAATGAATGCTGGACCTGTGAAGGAGAACACATGCAAAACTATTTTGTTCTACCAAGTTCATCAATTTTCGGGGAAGTCTCGTGACATTTTCATCTGGAAAATGCTTCAACAAGATGTCTCAGTAATGTGTAAAGACTCCACTGCAATTTCATGAGAAATTCTGACCCAAGTGCGGACTATTTTTGATGAGTGCCATTGAAACCCGATTATACAAGTACATTTACAAATAGAAAATGATGTATTGGAGCATCCAACGGGCCTATAGATCTTACGAACACTACTCCATGCCGTTCTAATCCCATACAACCGTTCTAATCTATGGATCTCCTTCGCATCGCAACACAGGTCCCCATGCAATTTCGACGCTACTGTCGTAAGATACTGTGTTTGGTGTGCATCTTGATTTATTTACGGCTTATTAGGGGGCACGGTGTCTGGTTTCGCAACTGAAGTTACCGTACTGTGAGAAACGCTGGGTCGCGGGCTATGAACAATGCCTAAAGGACCCACGTGAGCAGACTCGCTGCAGGCAACTAACTTTTCCCGGGTAAACCGCTTTAGTTTTTGTGTGTTTGCAAATTGTACTTTGTCGTATTGTGCTGTTTATTCCACATGCACCTGTTACTTCCTGTTGTTGCCTTATCTTATCAAAAAAAGTCCTAAGTTCTCCTTGCAAGTTTCATTCATTGGAGTGATGTTCATTTACGCAAGTTGTGCGGGCGAGTGGTTTGTTTATTTGAACTTCCTGCGGATATCCTGTACTCATCACGGATCGTTTCAGGTCAAAATGACCAACAGGGCGAATACTGCCGTGGTCATGGTCGACCCTAAAAAGCAACCTGCAAAAAGGACTGGGAAAGAGGAGGTAAGGGTTTTTACTTAAACAAGAAAAGCTTAAGTGCAGCGAATTACAAAAGTAACCTAAGGCTTTCAACACTAGGTTTTTTGGTACTGGTCATAAGCAAATTAGTTTGGAGGTTCGTGCCATTCCCACACAGGTTCAGTTTGAGCAGGCGTTCCCTTTTTCCTAACAGTTCGTTCACACTAAGAATCATACATTCCCTTTTTCGTTCATACTAAGAATCATAGTCTGGCATATTACCCTTGAAAGGTGCGTTACATGTTGGAATGTAATCGATATCTATTTTTTACGCATTGAACAGACGTTTTGCGTGAAAGGATCCCAGGATTATGGGCATATGTCGTTTGACGCAATCACCTTGCCACCGACGTGTCAAGACGTACGGACCAGCCGTCTTCCAGGAAGGGCATTTCGTCCGAATTTTCGAACTGTTGCAATTCTTTCTTTGTTTCGACTGTCCATCATGGAAAACCTTACACTTGAGTGGAAGAGTTATCCAACTTACTTTGGGAATGATGCAGACATGTTATCCAACTCTGCGGAACTCGGAAAAGTTATCCAACTTTCAGAATAATTCGGACGAGTTGTTCATCTTTGACGAAACCTGCCATTACCAGTCATTGCACTGCGGTCAATCATACGACAGCTCACCAACACTCGCCGGTGCACACTTCTAATAGCATCGAGTGTACGCGTACGCGCTAACTACAGCCTGGTTCGCTGTGGGTGGTGAGGCGTGTCCACTCGGCTGCGTCTAGCACGGCGCTGACCCTTTTCGTTTTTTCTTGCCAGCGACAACACTATACCATATCGTTTGTACTACTCTTTTTCACCAGTTATTATCACCCGCTCAAACAATTGGTGGAGAACGGACTTGGCGATTAGCCAGACGTATCCGAGCGGACGCCCCCATCCGCTGCGAACAAGGCTGTACACTCTACTAGCAGTATGAGTGTTCACACTGTCGAAGCCGTTCTCTGTCTTCTTGCTGAAACGCGCATGCGACAAAAAGTGGTAGAAAACGAGTAAACGAGGATATACAGTCCTCATCATTACGGACTGTCGGGGCGGCACAGCCGCGCTGCAATGTGACGCGACAGCGGCTGCGGCTCGGTGACGGCGAATCAGCTGATTTCCATGGAATTCGGCTGCGAATTCCCACTTTTTCAACTCTTCAAGCTTCGAAAGTGGAAGGTGAGTTATTTTGAACAATTTTAAATTGTACTGACTCTGAATGAATCTGAAAGAATGTAAGCCATTTGAATAAATGCCTGAAATAAGGCAAAATACAAGGAAAAGAGCATAATAATCGACATAAAAATAAAGGAAATCAGAGCCAGTACAATTCAAAATTGTTCAGAATAACTCACCTTCCACTTTAGAAGCTTGAAGAGCTGAAAAAGTAGGAATTTGCAGCCGAATTCCATCGAAATCAGCTGATTCACCGTCACCGAGCCGCAGCCGCTGTCGCGTCACAGTGCAGCGCCGACAGTCCGTAATGATGAGGACTGTAATACAGTATTGTCACTTGCCCGCTTCAACAACTGGTGGAGAACGAGTTTGGCACCGCGCCAAACGCAGCCGCACTGACACGCCCAACCGTCCGCAGCGAACTACACTATACATTAATCACAGTCCGCGACCCAGCGTTTCTCTTAAAAGAAACGCTTCGGCGAAAAGCTTTCGATACGTATCGATTGGCGGTTGGGCGAAGAGTCTGGCGGTTGCGCGAAACGGTTTTGATACGTATCGACGGGCGGTTCGGCGAAGCGGTTGGGCGAAAAACGCTAGCCCGACCGCCCTGGCGTTTTTTCTCTAGGGCGGAGTTAGCGAGAATCGATACGCATCTATTGCTTTTCGCCGAGCACCGAACCGCGACGGCGTTATGATTTCCTTCGTTTATTTGTTTGTTTATTTGTTTGTTTGTCCGGAAATTCGGTTCGACCTGAAGAACAACTTGGAGAGGTCGGGTCAAGGTGGGGATGGGTAGGGCATGGGACAAGATGTAAAGAGCACACATGACCTATGCGAAGCCCCTCCCTCAGCGGGCAGAGTTGCGCCGAAAGTTGGCGGTGACACGGACAAAACTGATAAATCGCCTCCAGAGCAGCTCAGAAACGGGGAAAAAGTGGGACAAGATTTGTAAGGGGTTGCCAGACTACTTAGGGAAGACATACCTGAAATGGGCGGGGCTCGTTTGAGCCAGGCGGTGCTTAACAAAACTCATTAACTCGGTTCCCGAGAGAATTTAGAGATGGCAAGAAAGGCGATTTAGTGAGATATCCTGGTTAACTCCGCACGAGGTTGTTAATTAACCTTCATTGGCCTACGTTTCAACGGGATCGAAGCAATTTATGACTACCCGATCAAATGTTTACACTACTCTATTGAAGTTCGAGTACATTACAGGCCATCACCTAATCGTAAGAGGGGGCACTCACCGCAATACAGTCTGGCCTCGAACTTCAGTAGTATAGTGAAAACCTTTGGTCGCGCAGTCATAAATTGCTTCGATCTTTTCAGGCTCTGAAGAAGGCGATCCCGCCGAAACGTAGGCCAATAAAGGTTAATTAACAACCTCGTGTGGAGTTCAACCAGGATATCTCACTATCATCACAATGCCGAGGTTCATGGAGAGCCGTACATGGCGTTTACGAAGATAATATAGGAAGACAACACCTGGGGAGACTCTGGCATGCCTGAGGGGTCTTGAGACCCGCCCACGGTGGACGGAGCCCCACAAAAACTCTGTAAGAACGGTTCCAGAGCACTCCGAAGACCGGAAAAAGTGGATTAAGGTCAGCAGAGGGTCGCCGGTGAGGATTGTGGGGCACAAACATTGTGGGCGGGGATCGCTACGAGGTGGACGGAGCTAGACAAAAAGGTCTGTAAAACGAGATCACTCTAAAGTCCGGAAAAAGTGGATCAAGGTCAGCAAAGGGTCGCTGTTAGGAATGTGGGCATACATGTTGTGGGCGGGGACCTGCTCCGAGGTGGGCGGAGCCAGACAAAAAGGTCTGTAATACGGTTCCAGAGCAGCAAAAAAGTAGATTAATGTTAGCAAAGGGTTGCCGGGTAAGAAATACACACGAAATCCCTGGGATGAGGTGGGCGTGGCTGCGTACTTCAACTATCCGTGGAGGTGGTCATGCTTTGGAGAGACATTTCCATTTTGGCACAATCGGGGTTGCGTCTCTGTCCAACACAGAAAAAATGACAGTTGTTTTAAACTGAAATATCCCACGAGCAACCCATTCTATGCAGTGCTCGAAGGCCACGCCTGCTCCGCCTCAGGGATAAGGAGTGTATAGGGCACACACGTTGTTGGCGGGGACTGCTACGAGTGGACTGAGCTAGACAAAAAGATCTGTGAAACGGTTCCGGAGCACTCTAGTCCGGATAAAAGTCGTTAAAGGTCAGCAAAGGGTCGCCGGTTAAGAAATATGGGAACACATGTTGTGGGCGGAGCCTGTCCCGTAGTGTGCGGAGCCCGACAAAAACTCTGCAAGCGGTTCAAGAGCACTCTAAAAAGACGTAAAAGTGGATAGTGGTCAAGGGGGATCACCGGTCGGAGTACACATCCGTTGTGGGCAGAGCTTGTGGAAGCCGAACCAAAAAATTTGTAGAACGGTTCCAAGCACTTTAGACATTAGGGAAAAGTAAGCTAGGGTAAGCGAGGAGTCACCGCTTTGGGAGAGCAGGGCGGAGCTAAACGCAGAAATCCGTAAAAGAATTCCAGAACAGACTCCAGACACCGGAAAAAGACAAGCAAAGATGTGCAGGAACTCCGCTATTGAAGCAAGATTTACGCGCTCATTGGGCTCGGAGCTGTGTCGATGTGAGCGGTCGAAGGTCAAAAATTCAGGAATCAGTTGCAGAGCGGAATAGGCATCAGGAAAAAGAAGCATTGAGGTCTACAAGGGTTTACAGGACGAAAAGGGGGAGACATCCCAGCAGTGAAGTGCTTCCGAAATGGGTGCTGCTTGCTGCAAGTTTCGTAGCTCGGATGTGACCGTGAGTAAGCTTGGAGATCAGGAAAATTTGCTGGAGAAGGGGAATACATGGCGAGAGTTGAGTATGTCTGGTGTGTCGAGGCCCACCCCCAGTGGGTGGAGCGTGTCTTCAAGCGCAAGGTATCTATTTACTGCGTTTCGGTGCATAGGCGGTCATACACTTGAACACCTGTCGTCTTAGGCCGCGTTGATAGCTTGCGTTCGTGAAGAAATGCAGAAATGCGGAAAATGCAGAAGTGCGGAATCTGCAGAAAAGCAATAGATACTTATCGACTTGAAGAAATGCAGAAATGCCGAAAGTGAAGAAGTGCGGAATCTGCAGAAATGCCGAAAGTGCGGAAAATCGATACGTATCGGTTGCTTTTCTGCACATTCCGCACTTTCGGCATTTCTGCACATTCCGCACTTCTTCACTTTCGGCATTTCTGCAGATTCCGCACTTCTTCACTTTCGGCATTTCTGCATTTCTTCAAATCGATACGTATGTAATGCTTTTCGTCATTTCTGCACTTTCCGCACTTCTGCAGTTTCGGCATTTCTGCATTTCTTCAAGTCGATAAGTATCTATTGCTTTTCTGCAGATTCCGCACTTCTGCACTTTCCGCACTTCTGCATTTTCCGCATTTCTGCATCTCACGAACGCAAGCTATGAACGCGGCCTTAGGTGTTCAGGGTCGTCGTTTGATATCAGTCGCGTTGGCTTACGCCAGCGCTACTTCTTTTCTAATACGGCCAGGCTTTGCCGGTTTTGCTTGGCTTCGTCGCGCCTACCTGCCTTCCTATGTTTGAATGCTCAACCAGTAACCGGTTTCCCTCTCATTTGCGCACGCTGCTCACCACCATTTCATAGACGGTAATGGTGTTTAAAGTAGCAGGTATGATGTTATTGGTGAAGGAGCACTGACAATATACGGCGTGGAAGAGAAGCCGGATAATCGTTGAGTATCCAAACATACCGAAGCAGGTAGGCTTGACGAAGCCATGCAAAACCGGCAAAGCCTGGCCGTATGGAGAGCGCGCCGGCGTCATCCGGCGAGCCGACTGGTAACCAAGTAAGGTAGTGGATTAAACTCGTTTGTAATAAAACCTGACTGGTCTGGAGAACGACATTGTCGGCATTTTCGGATTTTTCCAACTCCGCGATGCATTGATTCTCCAGTCCTCCAGTTTTGCAAGGTATGAACGCGGTCTAACATGACAGGGAAGATGTTAAGGCTGCGTTCACACTTCGCAACCGGAGCTATTCAGTGGTGCAGGCCAGTCCACGCAGTGGCAAGGTTACAGCTTGTGGTGAATATATGTACGGAGCATGTTGAGAAATTGAAGCGGGGCGGTTGCAAGCGTACATAAACCGGTTTTGTCATATTTCTGTCTCACAGTTAAGGATGGTTGAGCATCGTATTTTTCAATCAAACAGTGCTTACTTCAGGAATTGTTATCAAACTTCTGGGAGTTGTCCGTTAGTAGTAAAACGGTCTATCGCTATGACGTGGCTGTATACTTGGGGACCCGCGACAATAGCAGAGCTGTCAATTTTTTGCGTGGTCCCCGAGACGAGTACGTTTTTCATTTCTGCTTTTCGATAATGTTCTCTTCTGGCCGTATGAATGAGACTTTTTTCAGTTCTGCTTCGGTAGCTAGACGCAGAGCGTGTTTATGCGCTCTGCAGCTCATTCTGGAGCGGTATGATATTCTCAACGACAACTCCGCTGTAATATATGACGGAAGTGCCATTATGTTTTCATCAGAAGATCTTGCTTCTGCTTTGAAGAAAGTAGGCTACGTGAATTCAGAAGCCGTGCGGGAGATCCACTCTTGCGCCGAACTACATGAACTATACGAACTACTTTTCATGGTAGTTGAAAACATGCCTCGCCTTCCAAAAATGAAGGAGTTATGCGGCTCCAATCTAAAAGGTATTAAGTGATCCAGAAGTAAAGAAAAAAAAACAGAAAAAGCCTCCGGAAATGCCCCATGTGGAGATTCATGTTGAAGCGCGCTCGGTCTCGGACGGGGCAAAGAAAAGGCATGGTCAGACGAGCTCTCACTAGTTGGAACTGCCTCTTTCTCCTCATCTCCTCACTCTCACCATTCGAAATCGTACTCATATTAGAACAACCGCGCCATGAGGAGCACTTAAAATGAAAGTAGGGCGTTGCCATGGCTAGTGGACGGAGTGGTGATTCCCTCACGTGCGACCAGTGCTTTCCTCATGTATTTTTGAGCTTTGAAACTAATACATCCTTCACCCTTGCAGCGGGGGGAGCCTCCAATTCAAAGAAGGGGCCTGAACATCAATTGAACACAGGACGTGATTTAAAACTGACATGTTGGAGCAGTTCCACGTTTAATCAACAAGATCCTTCATGTTGTGTCCTCCAGCGCTGGAGAAGAATAGGAATACAGCTTAATCACAGAAGAGTAGTAGGGCAGTTACCGCTCTCATATACCACTTCAAATGTTCGGAGCTCATCAAGATTACGGGCTTGTCTTGGGTTTCTCGACCACCTACAACGCCTTTGATCCTCCTGGCAAGATCAAGGATAGCTGATCCAGCATTGCAGAAAACGCCGCGTAACATCACTTACAACGCCGTGTCGTGTGCCGCAACGTGGATCTCCCGCACTGCACATGATTATAGCTGAAAGTGTGTACATGATTCTCTTCACATTTTCAGCATCATGGTATATTATCGATCGACATAGGTGACCTTCCAGTACAACTGAGTAAACAAACTAGATTTTTTTGCCCGTCGGGCGAAATCCTTACTATAGAAATATGTCGTTGTCGGGACGCAGCTGCATCGTTCGACATTGCGGATTTATCAGCTCAGGTTGGTCCTCCCGTCGTTTGTTTGTTAGCGGAGTTTTTGAAGGCACGCTCCGCGTTCAATATCGTGAGTTACGCGGCTGAAATTCTAGTGACATGGTGGTAGGTAACACAAAAATGAAGAAGAAAAATCGGGGAAAAACCCATTCAAAATGCTTCATGTAGAACCTTATGCTGAACGAGGTTGTACACGCATAAGGCGAAGAAAGGCGTGGTCAGACGGGTTTTCAGTTATTGCTGTCGGCTGTTCCTTCTTATCCTCTCTTCCTCACTATTTAAAACCAAGAGAGTTAGTGATGGAAAAACCGGACCAATAAGTAGCAGTTATAAATGAAAGCTGTGCGTCGCCGTGGCCACTGGGTGGAGCCATGACCTCGTCGCAAGCGAGCGTGCTTTCTTCACGCACTCTTGAGCGGTGAAAGCAGCACATGCTCACGGCCAGGGCTACCCACGTCTGGAGAAGGCCTCTGGACATCAAAAGAGCGAAGGGCGTGCCTTCGAGGAGCGATTCAGTTACAGTTTTCGTCATCGCTCTCAGCCTTGATGAACCTTTTGGAAATTCATACTTCAGATGAACCGAAATTGGGCCACGATTGACCGCTCGTGGAAACAGTTCTATGAGTTGTTAGTTAGTCAGGATGCAGTCAGCAGGTAAGTACTTCATGAACTTTGTAGCAGGCGTTGCAGGTAAGAGTAGGCTATCGGATCTATATTATAGCGACGTAGCGACGAAAACATTATCCACGTGCCAGCGTCTCCACACCATAGGTGTACGTTTGATTACCCTATATATGAAGGAATGCTACATTCCTCCACGGCGCATCGCGGCGCGCTTCAACCACTGTAGACATTGTCTGTGTTAGGCTGCGTTCATATTTTACGACTTCAGGGGTAGCAAAATCGGCGACTCGACGTTTTGAAGATTACGCGCCAAGGATTTAGCTGTCTGTCTGGCAACAGAGGAAAACAAGCGAATCGTAAATTGTCGCTTTTGGATAATACGCGTCATCGAAAGAACATCTGGCGACATAGGTGAACAGGGATCGTGGTCATTTGTCATGTTCAGAGAGTGCGCTTTAACCCATTGCGTACCGCAGTGTATTTGCGCGACGCGATTTCTGGCGCGCTGAGTATAAAAACATAAGATTTTTATCTTATACATATAACATAAAAATATTGCACACACATCGTATTATGCATCACTTTTATAAGTATACGTATGCTAAAGGGGATTCAATATTGTTACGTGATAAAAGTGTAAAGCCGAAAAATGCGAAACTAGCCAAAAAAGCTTGATAAAATTAAGAAGAATTGAAAAAGTGACGCAGTGTGCTTAGAAGCTGTTCACTCACACCATTTTACAATTTTTCAGTCGTGTACTAAGCAGGATTTCGGTTTTATTGGTAAAGGAGAGTTAATTAAAAAATGTAATAGTTGAGGTATTACTCGAAAAATGCCAGCAACTTAGCTATTATTCAATCTCGCAATTTCCCCCACACATATTTTGTCCCAGACGACTTCAGGAATATACCGACTCTTTCCAGTCATCTAACAATGCTAAATGAGTTCACACTAAGAGTGCTTCACCATGTGCAGCACGCGGTACGCAATGGGGAAGCCTATTTATCTAGCCACATAGGGAGAACAGGAGAATCGACAATTCGACGTTTTCGGGGAATGCGCGCCAATAAGAAAATAGCTATCCATCTGGCGGTATAGCAGAATAGTAGGATAGACGATTGGACGTTCTGGATGAATAGGAATACATGAAAATCAATCGGCTACAACCTCCAACGCGCGTTTTGCAAATTCGAGGATTTTCCTATTCCACTACTCTCCCAGGTACCTAACTACCGGAGTCCATCAATTTCGATCTACTCCTTTGATGCGCCTTCTACTGAAACGTCGAGTTGCCGATTCTAATATTTCATTTCATTTTCCTAGTTCCCCGAGTTGCAAAGTATGAACGCGGCCTTGGAGACTTGCTTTCAACCAACCATAGTTTAGTTCTGAGAACCTGCTCATTCCTGTGTTTCCTTAATAGTACTTCTGCGGCATCGCATACCACTCGGAAGTAACGTCTATCCGAAATTTAAAAATCTCATCGTTCATTGCTGAGGACTTACAAAAATTTGGCTTTTTAGAGTTGTGACAAAACTTTATTTCAAGGGGTCGTTTCACCCAATACGGGATTGGGTGTTTGTACAGCAGGTCAGCTTCTGGAGATGTGGGATGCGGGTTTGAGAAATTCACTGGTGCTCGGAAGGGAATCAAGTTAGTTTGCATTTTGCGCTCTGTTGTATCTTTTGTTTTTTGTGCAAAAGTTTGTTACCTTGATTATGAAGACAATACAAGCGAATACTAACCATCAAAGCTGTGTGCACGATGGCTGGGGGCAGGTGGTTACTGCCAACGTCATTTGTGGAAGGACTGGATTGGACGTGACAGAACGTCTCCTCGCAGTACTTTTCACCAGTGACGTTGGCAACAACCGCTCAATCATCGCGTCCATGGAAAGTCCACCGTGCTTGCGACACTGATCTTTTCCATAAACGAGGTGAGCAGGCTCTTCTGCTGCAGAGGAGGGTCACATCCGTTACTTGGAAGTACGTGACAGCCGGACATTTTCGCATTAGTGATGTGGCATGTAGTGGGTTTGACATTGAGCCCTGCCTGCAATGTACTTACACTGACTCTTTCGAGACGTGTGTTGAATTTTCGTTCTTCAGATTCATTGAGGGGAAACGAAAAGGGCCAAAGAACGTCGTTCCTGCTCTGATTCTCGACCGTGAGTACTTTACTTTCTGCAAGCTAGCCGTCTTTTCGACAAAATCATCACTACTGCAGCTGGCTACGATGCTTTCATTTACAGAGATAAAAACAGTTGTTTCCAGATCGCACAGGAGTTTTCTTCAAAAATCAGAGTTTGATGAAAAGTATACGAGAGATCGAAGGACTACAACGCGTCGATCGTTTCGACTTCAGCGATCCTAATAATCGTATGAATCCTATGTGGAACAAAGTCAACAATTA